GCTGTTCAATAAATTTTATTGGTGTTTATGGACACTTTACAAAATAATTAATTCACGTTAATCACTTTACATAAGGCTATAAATTCTAATAAAAGCGTAAATAAATAATGAAAATAATATATCATGTTTAAGAGCATCTAGAAATTATAATAAAAATATGTAAATGTGTGTCAATTAAAAAGTAGACAATTCTGAACTCTGAAAAAACATAATAAAATTAAAATATAAAATTATTAAAAATAGTAAGAAATAATATTATTTATGAGCACACCCGCTGAGAAATTATATCTCAAATTTTCGAATGAACTCATCATGAAAACCCAAAATAACAGAATGAATTAACATTGCTCACTAATCACTTAACAGTAGGTATATTATTATTTATTATAGAATATGATACACTGACATATCAACAATATGATTTATAATAGTAGACAGTTACGAAATATCACCTTACTATAATTGTACAACTATTTACCCCCCCCCTATTGATTACTATAATTGCACTGTTTTGTTTCAATAAATTAATTTGCTGTATTTATATAAGTAATATTTTATTTGAAAAATAAGCTTTCTACTATCAAATTTTTCATAAATTGCATTACAGTAGTAATTTTTTTTTTAGAATACTTTTTTTTCAGTAAAAAAACTGCATGTAAAAATAGTGAAGGAATGTAACTAACCACACATTTATATGTTATCTATTAACATCCTCCAGTGAACCACAAATGGGTTTCGATAATTTTATAAAGAATTAAACCTATGCTTAAACCTTTGTGATAAAATTGAGTATAATGCTGAAATACTTAATAATAGATAATAACAATAATTATAATAATACACAATTTCATCTACTTTATCGCTCTGATAAAAGTGACCAGCGTATGAATTGCTGTCTGGTCTTTTCAATATTGTCCCGGCTATCGACCATCGCCCTTTTAACAGCGTAGGGAACGACCGCAGAAGATAATGAACTGTCACGGTGGGATTTATGCAATAGCAATACGTTTGTCAGATTTCACCCATGGGTCAAGCATGCATGGCTAATCCACGATTTCAGACCGACCGATCGTCCGTATCCCCGGATCGAAACAGTCACTTTCTGGAGGCTCCCAATTTGACATCCAACATAAAACGAATTATTATCATTATTACACTGACAAGGGATAATCCGCACAAAGTCTAAATGATTACCAGTGGGGGTACATATCCTATATTGAGACCGAAATCAATAAACTGATTATTTCTGGGCCGAGTTTTCCTGTTCAGTTATACTTTCCAGCAACATAGTCATAACAATATTATTTATAAAAATATGAAAACATTTTTAATAAGAATTAAAAATGATTTATATAAACAACCCTATTGAAAAAGCCACACAAAACTAATAACAACCCACTAAACGATAACTAATTCTTATAGTTAATTTTTTTTTTTAACAGAAAGAAATGTACCCACTGATATTACTTGTTTTTATTTCATAGCAATACTCAATGGGGATTTTAGGAATTAAGCTTTTTAACTTGGGAAGAAGAATTGTATTAACGTATTGTATATAAAAAAAAAAAAAACGTTTAAAATACCAATACCTAAATAGCTCAAAAAGTTTTATTTTGTAAAATTTCAATAATATTTAGAAAATATTAATCTAAATATTTGTATTTGTTTAAGAATCTATGATTAAAATAAGAGATTTGGTCAATAATTGATCGAAAAATTCTATGGTGATTTGAGATTTCTATATTATTATAATTTATGAAAGCTATATCACATATGATAGTAGGTATTGACTTTTGGTTATGTTAAACCATAAATGTAAAATTATCAAGCTTAACATACTTTTTAGATTTTATGTCTTATATTTTCAGTATTTATATTAAAGTATTGACTATTTTGAGGAGTAAAATCTAAAATTGTCAAAATTATTTATGATGTAGGAAAACACTTAATCGAATAATATACTAATATTCCAAACTAGGTACGATATTTTACGATTATTATTATTATTTAATTTAAATTTAAACTGTACTGGTTTAAAAATCCCATTTTTCAATAAATATTGAATAATATTCATATCTAATATATTGTTGTGTTATTATGTTTAAAAAAATTCCACTCAATACACATATCGGTACATTATGAATATGACAATATAAAATATAAACCTAATTAAAAAATTATGTATATTTTTTAATTTTTTTTTTTTCTTTAAGGACAGTATTTTTCATTTTATCAAAAACATAATTAAAATTAAGTATAAAATTCAATTTATAAAAAAGGGAAAATAATTTACCATTCTGCTGTAAAGTAGAAGTTCAGTGTGCATTGTCATTGAGTAGGTCACTGTAATGGATTTCTCAAATTTGAATTATTCAATCATAAACTATTACATGTGAAAACGATTCTGAGAAGACTATTTTTGTGTCAATATTTTATTTTTTTTTTAATAATTTTAATAATAAATAATAAATATGCTATAGCATAACTTATCAATATGAACTTTTTCAAAATGTCTTTGTGTTTATAAAATAAAATATTATACGTACAAGTTTCTAAATCCCATAAAAAATATTTTTGAATTTCAGCAATACAACTAAAATTGGCATTCTTCATTTAGATATCGAAATTCGTCCAAATTTGAACTTAAAATGTGTATAAAAAATGAATATTTATATCGTTTTTATAGGAGGTATTTATATATTTTTATTTTATTCCAGCTTAAACTACATATTATGAAGAATCTTGAATTTTTAATGTTCAAGTTTCAGCTATACAAATTGGTCATAAATATGCATAAACTAATATCAGAAAATCCAAAATCCCAAAATCCAGAATTTAAATGATTAAAATTTAAAAAAGAAGTACAGTATAATTATTTTAATATATGAATATGCAAATTTCTTTTTACAAAACGACAATGCGTATAAATATTTAAAGTGTAGAGTATTTTTCTTGAATAATTAAGATAAAAATACTACAGATTTGGATTTAAAAAAATATACATTTTTGTAACCAATTATAAAATATAATATTATTACCTATTATATAATGTCCCAGCCCCCAGGTAGTATACGAGATAATATATTGTGTTTGCGAATTTGATTAAAGATAAATATTGCGAATAATATTAGAACAATGTAAATATAAACTTTATTTTATTTATGTTACCTACCTGGTCTTTCATTATTATTATTGTTTAAACATGTCCAAAAATTCTAAATATTATAGAAATTAAATCAGGTTAAAATATAGGTAGGTACAACATGCAGTATGCACTTAAATATATTATGATAAATGATAATAATTTTCATTATAATATAGTAATAGATAACTACTAAGATTAGATAAGTACCAATAATGATAAAATTAAAAGTTTTATTAGTATTAATAATTTTATTTTCTTAATGAAAACAATTCATTTATTAATTTATAATTTAATAAAGGAAGGTACTTACCGTGAAATTTCCGAAAAAAAAAATCAAAAAAAAATACCATCACGATTTGTTTTCCCTTAAGTTTAATTACGACCCACTGAGCGTGAAAAATGATTACATTGAATATTAGAACACTGCCTTGAAAATGTAATTAAGAGAAACAAAAAAATAAAATAAATAATAGGTGAGTACATTGATCAACAATAACTTTTTTGCTCTCGCTGAGCATAATTCTAAACATAATACATTATGTACTTAATTAAGTAGTGACCGATTAAATTAAATAACCTAACGTTTTTGAAAAATGTTGAGTACAATTTTATATAATTTTTTTTTTTGTAAAAATGAAACTGTACGTAAAATAATAATAAAATAATAATATTACGCCGTTGAATAATTACTACGTTTTTTTTCAAACTGGTATACGATAAATTCCATTATAAAGTGTACTCTCAAATGCATGTACCTACCTACAAAATTGAATAATTAGGTAACGCATTTTCAGCTGATTCACTAAAAATTTTAATTGGTTCATTTTTTTGCGATTAACTTATGAATAGAATACTGTCAACCGAAGAACCACGCTGGAAAGTTATGTGATGGTAAAATATGTAACGTTTGTTGTATTTTTGAATAGTATTAAAAAAAAAAAAAAACATTTCGCTCGCTGAAGTATTACCAATGATTTTGTCGTTTCCACCATTTGAGAGCATTATAAAATTCCACTTGCCAGATGGATGTGTTAAGGTCAATTTTAACATGTAATTGAAATAACAAAAAAACGAATTATATAGTCGGGTAGTTCTACACGTATACAAAGGTAATCTTGTGTCTTAATTATAGTTGTAAGAATAAATCAAAATTAAATATAAACTTCATACTTTTTATTATATATTTTTGACTGCCTCTTTTTACCATCAGGTAGTATTAAACTGAAAGCAGACATAGAACCAAATTATTCAATACTAAGAAGGGGAAAAAATCATTTTTTTTTTTTTTAAGAAATTATTATAATTATGAAACGCAGTTACTTGAAACAAATGATTTTCAAACTAAATGTATTTTGTAAAACATTTTTTGGAAACATATTCTAATGAAGATGACAATAACACAATATAGTTAATACACGAATACAACTGATTTCGATTTTACCAATAAGCTATAGGTACTAACGCCCGAAGATTACCAGTTTGAAGGTACGATTTTTATGGGATCAGTACTTTTTCCCGACATTCAGTTGCCCGACACCTTAATTACCCGACACCATTTGCCCGACACTACATTGGCCCGACACTACGTTTGCCCGACACTACGTTTGCCCGACACTATATTTGCCCGATACTACACTTGCCCGACAATATCAAATTATAATGTAAATAAATAAATTTCAATAACATATATTACACATTCAAAATTATACAACTAATAATAATATATTTCTCTAACATATCAAGTTGTATTATAAATAAATATGTGTCAAAAATGATTTTAAATTTCAATTAAATATTATATTATATTATAAATATGTGTCAAAAATCAATAATAATAAAAATATATAGGTACTTCTTACAATTTAATGTTATGAGCGATTCCCCTTAGAAATGATGAATTTGATCGATTTCCTCTGTCATTTATAATTGTACTAATACGTTTTTCTCTTTCAGCGTATTCTCTGCGAGTTGGAGTATGTGCCCTTCCACGAATTATATCTTCGGATCTCCGTTCAGTTTGAATTTGCTCTTTTTTAATTTCATCTATAATTGTGTAAATACCAACATGACATTTTCCAACTAGAGTTTCAAAACGTCTGTGCCAACCCTCTACTCGATTTTGAGTTCTAGGAATGCCTAATTCCATTCGCTCAAATACGGACCAAAATTTTGGTGGAAATAAAGGAGCTGTGCGACTTACATTACCTCCTCTCATTACCCTTCTAATTCTACCATGCACATAATTGTTCTCAAAAAACTGCACTATCTCAGAAGCTTCTTCGGGAATAGTAGATTTCAGTTCATCGAATGCACCTGGTATTTCGGTGGGTGGAAGAAAAGCAAGAGCAATAATCTGACGTAGTTTCAAACTAAATTCTTCATCTTCTCCATATCTTTTACTAAGAGAATTTGCTTGAATTTGACGCCATACACTTTGCCCTAGATGAAAAAGACAACCTATACAATTAGAGTCAGGATATTCACGTTTTGAAGCATTTATAGCCGCTTGCTCAAAATCAGTTAAAATAAATTGAGGGTTTAAATCTAATTCATTTTCGGCTGCAAAATCATTTAAATTTTCAAAAAGGCGAGTATAACATTCTTCTGTTTTACTAGTCATTAAAGCATACACGAGGGGCAATATTTTTGCATTTTCTCCTGTTCCTACTAAAGCATGGATTGTATATAATTGTCGAAAAAGTGTCGGAACAGTTTTAAAAGTACCGTCCATGATCCAATATGAACTTTTTTTCAAATGTTCAACGTTAGATTTAGTTGTAAACAAAAGTATTCTCTCATTGTCAAAGGTTGCGTCTTTTGCAAGGAAAATTTGTCCATTAATAGTTCTAAGGGGTAATGGTACATCTATATTGTCAATGGAAGTTGGTTGGATAGGTATATCTTTTCTGCGTACTCTTTTTATAATTTGACGTAAAGCATGATTATTCGGCAACGATGCTTGACTTATACTAGAAACAGCATTGGTTTCAACTTGTATTATTTGTGCAGGCGTGTCATTAGTCGCATGAGCCTTTCGTTTCAAATTATGAACAGCCGTGATAATATCTTTTCTAGTAGCATCGGGGCTATGGTTATGCTCTTTTTTATTTCGTAAGTTATGTTGTCCATTAATTAAAATGGTACAAGCATAACCACCACAATGAAGAGTTTTTCTCTTTTCGCAGCACCAATAATACAAATCATCTCTATTTTTGTCTTTTGTCATTATATAACCATCGATAACAAGTTTTATACCACCTCTATTTGATAAAACAGTTTCACAAATTTGTGCCATTTTTCGATTTATATTAAAAAAAAAATAATTAAAATAAAATCAAACTGAATTAAATCAAAATTAAAATATTTTTAAAAGAAAGAAGTAAAATTCGTACTAAATGTGTATCTATATAACGGCTATAACTGTACTGTAGGAACTGAACTATCAAATGTCGCATTAAAAACCTACGGTAATTTTATCTGTCTATCGCAGTATCGCCTATCGGTTTACTTGGAAATTAAAATCTTATCGTGAATAGCATTATAGTTCGTGACTGAAAACGCAATAACATTTTATTTATAAAACGCATAGAACGATATCATCCGCATGATAAAATATTCGTCTGATTTTGGTTTTTTTGAATTATTGTATATTAATAAATATTAATAATAATAACAATATAGATTGTATATTAGTATTACGTATAGTCGTATAGTAAAAATATGTGGAATATATTGTCGGGCAAATGTATTGTCGGGTAAATGTAGTTGTCGGGTAAAAGTAGTGTCGAGTAAAAGTATTGTCGGGCAGATGGTGTCTGGCAAATGAAGTGTCGGGCATTTGAGTGTCGGGCAAACATATCAGACCCGATTTTTATTATATTTATTTTATAACTATATACTGTAAAGTTCTGTGAACATTTGTAAAGCTGTTTATTATTATGTGTTGCTGATGGTGAAACAGTGATGTTATTATCATGCTAGTGCTAAGCCAGGGCCGTAGACACGGGGGGGGGTTTAGGGGGTTCAAACCCCCCCCCCTTGGAAAGTTTATAAATTTATTTAAAATATTTAAAACTACTAATATATCTTATATATTTAAAAAAAAAAATTTATCAATAATAGTTATTAATAATATTTTAGATGTTTGTGTTGTTATCGGTTATAAGTAAGGTATTTTGTGTATCGTCTAATGGTCGCAATGACAAATCACCATTACCATAACCGTTTTGTTACTGTGATAATTTATAATCTTATTATATGTTCATGTTGATAATACTGAAATTTAAGATAACATATTAATTAGGTATTATCAGTATTATAGTTAAAACTTTAAAAGTTAAAACCGTGCTTAAAAAAAAAACATAGATTTGAGACAAATGATCAGTTTGGCCAATATCAGTATCAAGGTTCTTGACAATTTAAGGGAAAATGTAGATCATTAATTTAAAAAAAATGTTCAAAGAAGCTCAAGTAATGAATGCCTTAAATTCAATTTTAATGTTCATTTTTTTAACTATAATTATATTTTTAAATAGAGATTGGCTGAGATGTTAGACTTTGAAATATCAGTCAAACAGCTGAAAAAGAGTCAAAATATTTTCAAAATTGTATGGTGTATAGGAAATGCTAATATAAACATTCAGTGAAATTTTCATGTATCTACAGTTATTCGTTTTTGTATTACAACAAAATAAGGAAATCGCTACATGAGAAATCGAGTGAATATCCAATGTTGTAAAAATTTGAATTTCAAACGCTCATAAAAATTTAATTTGACTTTCTTATAGACATTTTTTTTTTGATAAATGTAGATAATCTTATTAGGAATCTTGTATTACATTTTCAAATCTTAGATTTAAAAAGAAAAATTTTTACGAATTCTTAACTCAAAATAATTTGCTAGTTTTCGTGATTTTTCCATATTTTGTCAATTTTTGAACTTTAAATGCTTATAAAAAAAAATTGTGACTAAGGATTTTTAATATTTTTCATCTGCCTTTGAAACAATATACTAGGAGCCTTTTCTTAAATTTTCAAGCTTTCGCAACCAACAAATAAAATTTTATTGATATTTTCAGAAAAAAAACTAAAAAAAAATGGAAAATAAAAATGTGCCTAAACAGTTTAAAATAAATCAAAATATTTTGAAAATGTTATCGTGTATAGAAAATGTAAATATAAACAACCAGTGAAAATTTCATGTATATACGTTTATTTGTTTTAGAGTTACACTAAAAACCAAAATCGATTTTTTGGAAATCCGATGTTGCGTAAAAATTCCCGTTTTCCCTTAATTTTTATGTTGTTTTTCCCGGCGCTTGTGAAAACTACTATTTTTACTTTTGACCCCCAAAGTACCAACTAGATTCACTTTCCTATCAGAAAAGCTACTGTTGAAGAAAATCCAAGCACTTTTACTGTCCTAAAACGCGATGACAGACACAAAAAAAAAACAAAAAAAAAAAAAAAAAACACACATCATTGTAAAATCAATACATTCATCGTTTCACTCAGAATCTAAAAGAAAAATAGATCTGATATTATAACTTATAAGACACTAAAATAAATATATAAAAATATAAATAATGTGTTATTTTTTTTTTTTCATTTACTAGGTATAACATGTTATTATTATAATAAACCCCCCCCCCCCCATATAAAATTCCTGTCTACGGCACTGTGCTAAGCCACGAGATGTCCATCGATACAGATGAAAATAATATTGAATTTGACTATTTTTCTACCCATGTACATGACATGCCTTGTCTGTTTCCACCGATTTTCTGTTTTCCAAAATCACTATTATTAGTTATTACCTTCCCAGGCCCCAGTAAAAGAACTCTTGGAAAACAATACTATAATATAACACTGTATTCTACGGGTGCAAAGTTGTAGATCGACGATTAAAAATATGGCCAATAATCACTGCGGTATAGTTGTGGTATATCGTTTCAAAAGTAGCCTCAATTAATATAAATATAAATTATTTAAAAGTATCTGTCTAACATACAACTATACGAAAATATCTAACAGGCAGGGTCCCACTAAGTATAAAAAGGAAAAAGCGCCACAAAAATTACACACATAGGCAAAACACACGCTAAACTGCAGGACAATAATAATTAAATCAAGCAACACGATTCACGAGAAAAAATTCTTAAGAAAGCAAAGCAAATTTGTAGTCTTATAATTATGTTTGAAACTACAATAATCTAATAGGAAATTTGATGTGAAAGTGCAATGTGTAGTTTTGAAGTTTTCCAATAATTTTGAACAATATGAACAGATATTACTGCCAATTTACTAAAAATTATTGAACCGAATCATCAACATTTTATTAGATAATATTTTCCTTGGCCCGCATCACAATGCACTATCCAATATGCAAAAAAAAATTATTATACTTAATACTAATTTCTACTATGTATTACTATTATAATCTGCAACCGATGGCAGCCATTAATAAACATATAAAATTATTTACTCAGTGTAAAAAAAAAATATAAGTATAAAAATAAACGGCTCTAAAAATTATGATATAATTTTAGCTAATTCTTTAAATTATAGATATCACTTATGTTAAAATAATCTGCTAAAAAATTGAGCTTTGCTTGGTGATTAAGTTGAAAATTTAAAAACCCGATTGCATAATGAGTAAGTCATAATAGTATTATAGTCTACTATCATTGAAATAGGTAGTATAATCAAGTGTTTTAAAGTCGCCAAGTTATGTTCAATTTTTATTAGATTTTTTTAACATAAATTATATTTATAGTTCAAAAATTTAGCTAAACTTAGCTAAGACTTAGCTAACCTACCTATAGAAAAATGATATCACAACTTTTAGAGCCAATTTTTTTATATTTAGCGTTTTCTTTACACTGAGTATGGCAGCGTGTTTTTGTTGTTATGCATAATAACATAAACCAATAATATTCATTTACAATTTCTATAATTATTTTAATTTCTCTAGTAAGTACCTATTTCTAAGTGCAGATATAAAAACTTCAAGAATTTATAACGAATAGTAAAGATATTTTATTAATAAAATATTATTTTTATGAAAAATATTTAATTTTTTTTATAAAAGTCACTTTCGGGGACGTTTGCTAATTTTTTTTAGACAGCTGTGGGACGTTCGTAAAAATGATATGAAGGCGTTCAATAATAGCTCTCGATCGATGGCCGTACGATTATCAAACGTACGACACCAGCTTTAACCGGGGTTACGCGATACGCGGGGGTTTGCTGAAACTTTTCAAACGCTTAAGGTCTTACGAAACTAAGATTTAAAAGGGGACGAAAAATAAAATAAAATACAATCCGAAACGAAACGACATTGGCATTGTTCCACATTATTGTAAAATGTATTGCAAAGCGTAATGCGTATATAATGACATCCACCACAGTTTATGCATTTACCGCACGCCCTTCGGATGTAGGCATTATATGCTTTGCATTGTATGGTGCATATCATTTTTATTTAATATTATTAATTATCAGTGTAATGTATACCTAATATTATATAAAATCGTAAGTTTTCATTAATTATATATATATATAATATAATTCAATTATTGTACTTCAAATTATTTATATCTTATAGTGGTGAGAATGATTAAAAAAAAAATATGAAATATATAGATACCTACTTAAGTCTTAACAAATACCATAAAAGTTAAGGATAAAAATTGTTTGATTTAATATGGTACGATAAATAAATATAAATTGATTATGTCTTGCCTAGTCAAGACTTAAATTAAGGATATTATTTTAAAGTTAATCCGTGTGATATGTGTCGAATTAATATTAATACAACACTAATAATATTATTATATGGACCAAACTAAATATAACTTGGTCAACCAATTTTACCAGTACACATGATCACATGTTTGAATGTATAAAACTAAAAAAAATTATATTACAACATTGCCACAGTCACGAATTTTCCATAAAATGTATTCTAGGCGTTTAGTTGTGATTGGAGACGCTGCGGTGACAAAAAGTTTAATGAGAATTTGAGTTTTTCGACTAGCGAATGTTTTTTTTGGTTGGTTCGATAAAGGTTGGATCTTCATTATTTTTTGTATTGCTTGGTATTGAAGGAACATTATTCTGAGTGGTATCAATATTTTGAGTATTAACAATAGGTGGAGAGAGAGTTACACACCGGGATGCACCCCAACGGCCAGAACCAAAATCACCAACACCTTCATCTGCTTCAATCAACACCGAAGATAGCCTGAGCACTCATTCATCTTCAGACTCATCCTTACCTAAATCAATCAAACATACAGAAGACGTAAACAACACTCTCAATGATTCTTTAAAGGAATCCAAAACAAGAATACCTCCCTTCATACTCAATCCAGATCAATGGAAAACCAGTGCTCCAAAGATCATGCCTAAATACAAAAGTGAACAACTACGTGCTACTTTCTCCAACAACTCTTTCCGAATTCAGGCCTCTGACACTGACACATTTCGGGACGTTCAGCGAACCCTTGTCGAACTTAATATCAACTTTCACACATTGTCACTTCCATCCAAGAAGACTCAAAGTTTTATTGTTAGGCGTTCCAAATTTCTACTCCGAAGACGAAGAAAAAACTGACCTAGCAATCACACTACTCGCTGTGTAAAATTCGAAGACAACCACACTACCAAGTCCTGCACAAAGACCCCCAACCAACAACTCAGATGCTGCAACTGCAACAGAGAGCACACTGCTATCTACCGGAAGTGTCCCGCCTACACCAAAGCAGCCTCTCTTAAGAGAAAACACCCTCTATTACTACAACCTGCCTCTACACCACAAGCCTTAAGCGTCTGGGAACCAAGACCGTCGAACCGACAGCCAGCGGAAAGAAACCTATGCAGATTTGGAACGACTAAACGCCCGGCGACGACCACTGAAAAGGGCACTTTTCAGGGTCACCACCTCACTCCGACACGGCACTTATTTAAGTTGTCCTCTCCAAACCAGGTTCGCCATCGGGGTACCGCTTAACTAAGCTTGTACCGACGACGGCCGGTTCCCTAATTTTCCTATTTGTACAAAATATAGGCCAACTGTAATGTAATATTGTAAATAGAGTCCGGTACACACCCGACTAATCATAAACGCCCCGATTGTGTCGACTCACTTATTTAAGCCCGGTCGAAGCCAATCGACGCTTTACTAGACCCAAGTTTTGTAAATGTATATATATATAAGTTATAGAAATAGACATACGTTATAATAAGAAACTCAGTGTTATTATTTATTCACGATATGGGTCGTCCATTTAGACGAACCGTATCAACTGTTTAAATTATGAACTTTCTAGCTTTTCATCTACACCCTTATCGCTAAAATAAATATTTTTGATAGAACATCATAATATATTATATGTTACTAAATTAAAATGTTTAAAATCAAAAGTAGTCACCATGTTATTGGTAAATATTTTAATAGTATGTCACACTCAGTGTTGTCCAGAATTGGAGTAAAATTGGACGGTTTTTGTGAAAAGGGAATCAAGTCACTTTTTGGACATTTTGATATTATACATGAAAATTGAAGGAAATTTCAAGCCAGATCTAGTGGTAACACTGTCATTAACATGTTACCAGTATTTTTATTATGTATTACAGTGCGCGTTTAGTGTCAAGTCAAAAATAAATATTTTTTTTGTGAGAAAGGTCTCAAGTCACATATTTTTTTCTATTTTTCAATGTGTTGATATATAATGTGGTTAAAATCTTTAAGTGTACATTAGTATAGCAATTAAAAATGTCGAATAGAATTAAGACGATGTTGAAGATGGCACGAAACAGTAAGTTACTTATTTTGAGTAATTTTAAGTGTACTTTTAATGATTTTATGTTTCATTTTTATTTTTTTCAGATGTCAACGTCACAACGGATAGAAAACTTCTAAAGCCGGTTGTTTGCAGAAACTTAGGTGATACATTTCTTTTGCAAACAGACAACAATAATACCAATAATTTGAAAAACTATTTAGTAGTGAGTACCTATACTTATTTATTAGACATGCTTACATATTACATAGTAAAAATAGTAATAATGTTATATCATAACATAAGTAGTGAATTTAACAAAATATATTTTATATACCTACCTAGTTTATTAAAAACAGTTGAAAACAAATGGTGTTATAGTTAATAATATGTTAAATTAATTATATATTACATAACCATAATAAAAAAACCCACCAACATAGATTTACCTACTTAAGATTTTAATTTAATTAACTGTAGTATAACAAATTAAAAAATATAAATAATAGAAGTATTTTTATCCTTAGGAATGGGTAAATAAATCAGATCCGTCGTATGGGCTATCAGACAATGATTATCCATCTTATGATGTCAATGATGTTACAAATGAAAAACATAATTTTGAAGTAATTTCTTAAGCAGTTTATTCATAGTATACCTATTTTAATGTATACGTTATTTTATAGAGTGAATTAACTTTAACAAATCTAGTAGGTAATAAAGTAATATTTTTGTATTTGTGTTTACAGGGTAATGTAACTAGTTGTGCTTATAATAATAGCAAAAAAGAAACTTGTATTACATTAAACAACATCAACTACACACTTGAATTTAGCAATGACACCCAAAATTATAATCAAATTACTGTGGAAAATAATAACTTTAATGATAAAGACAATGTTTTTAACATTATAGAAAACGCAAAACAAGTAAATATATTTCTAGTAAAACATTTTTATTAAAATTAATGTAACATTTTTTTCCTATTACCTATAATAGGTAAATCATGATGACATTTATGGCAAATCAAGTGTTATTTTGGGAACACCTGTATCGTCTGTAGAAAACCCAACGGCTATGGAACAGGTATGCATATAATGTTCAATTGTATATTATATATTTTTATAAAAAAAAAAAATGTTTATTTAATATAAACAGGATAATGATGACATCAATGACGAACCAAGTGTAATTTTGGGTACATCTGTTTCATCTTTAGACAGTCTTATACCTATGGAACAGGTATACATAGAACATATTATATACTATATGTGCCATTTTGGTTAAATATTTTAATATAATAATTTTTATTTAATATAAATAGGATAATTATGACATCAATGGCGAACCAAGTGTAATTTTGGGTACAGCTGAATCATTAGTTGGGAGTCTTGAAGTACATCTAAATACAAATAATCAAAATAAAAGAAAGTCTAGAGTAAGCTTGAAAGGTGATACCAGACAATTCAGAATTTATCGAAATCAAAAAAGAAATACTGGTTTGGAATATACGACTAATACAGGGAAAACAGTCAAACCCCGAGCATCTAAAATACTTCTAGATTGTAAAGCCAAATGTAAAAGTAAAATACAAGATGATTTACGTGAGCAATTGTTTAACATGTATTGGGCCATGGGTAGTTTTAATAGACGAACCTCTTATATGTCTAAACTTATTACATGTTGTCCTAAGAAAAGTTGTAGAAAAAGAAGGGATACACCAGAAAAACAAAAACCAAAGGAAAAGACATATAAATACTATGTACCAAGAGATGGTGATTTAATACAGGTATGTAAAGGTTGTTTTATGAGAATATTTTGTGAAAGTACTAAGTTTTTAAGAAATATTTGTACTAATATGCTAAATTCACCTGCACAACGATGCTCTCCAGATAAAAGAGGTTGTGCACCACCTGGAAACAAACGCTGTCAAGATAGTATTAATTTATTGATTAACCATATTAACTCACTCCCTAGTTACGAAAGTCATTATTGTAGAAAGGAGACCTCTAAAAAGTATTTACCAAGTCACTTTACATTGCAACGAGCTTATGAGGAATACAAAATAAGTGTAGAAAAGCCAGTTAGTCGAACACTATATGAAAAATATTTTAAAGCTGCAGGGTTGAAAGTTAAAAACCCCAAGAAGGATACATGTGCACAGTGTGACAAGTATAAAATCAAGCTTACTGATAATATTATAACAACCGATCAAAAGAATAAGATAATTGAAGATAAAATACAACATCAAAATGAAGCTGAGCAAGCCTATGAATCGAAAAGAAATGACATAGCCACTATGTCCACAGACCATTGTGTTTTGTCATTTGATTTACAACAGTGTCTGCCGACCCCCTCATTAGAAAGCTCTGTTGCATTTTATAAACGCCAATTATGGACCTATAACTTAACTGTGCACAATTGTGCCTCATCTAAAGCAACATGCTATATTTGGTATGAAACTTTAGCCAAACGAGGGGCTAATGAAATTGGTTCATGTGTATACAACTATTTATCTAATTTACCAAAAAATATTACTCATGTAACCATGTACAGTGATTGCTGCCCTGGGCAAAATAAAAACAGCATCCTCATGGCTATGTGTCTGTTTTTTTTTGGATCAACAGGAAACTATTGAAACAATTGATCATAAATTTATGGTGCCGGGCCACTCAAGAATGGAGTGTGACTCGGATCACGCTAAAATTGAAAAAGCTCGGAAAACATTTCCTTCATCTATTAATCATCCATATGATTGGATGCAATTAATTAGATTTGCAGGAAAAAATAAGTTTTTGGTAGTAGAAATGGTGCAAGAAATGTTTTTTGACTTCAACAAATTATTGAAAAAATCTTATCAAATGAAGAAAACCAATGAAAATAAAGAAAAATTTGTTTTTCGAGATGTTAAGTGGATTCGGTACATTAAAAACGAAAAAGGTATAGTATTTTATAAGACTTCCCTTGGTTTAAATGCGAAATTCCTCAAATTGAACTTAAACAGGAAAAATGCAACTTCAATGGAAATTGAAAGAGCATACTATGATATGTTATGTATAACTGAAGAAAAAAAAAAGGATCTTATGACATTATTGGCATTTATACCTGAAACATTTCATGATTTTTATAAAAGCCTGAAATCAAACATAGATATTAATGATCCTATAATATCTGATGAAGAAAATGAATAATGTAACTTCTGTACAATTTTATGTTATTTTATGTTATTTTAATATTTTGTTTTATTTTATCAAAGTGATTATTCTTTATACTAAAAGTTACTATTTATTTTATCTTAAAAGTAGTTGTTTATTTTTAAAAGTTTTATATTGTTAAAAATGTTATTGATATTATAATTAATAATAAATTATACCCAAAAGACATTATGATTTTAATAAAACCTAAAATCAGTCAAAAATATATTACCTACTAGTACTATATTCTTAATTATTATTATTATTTACTTATATTAAATTATATCATATACACTTTATTAGATAAATAAAATTAGGATCAACCTTTAGGTATTCAATTCCATTTTTAATATAATAATATTATGTACATTTCACATTTGCACATATTATTATTAAAATATTTTGTATTATTTGAGTTACTTTTCAGAGAGCTTAAACTATTATATGCAGTAATTAGTTATTTGTTTTATGGAAACTATAATGTATATATTGCAAAATAATGTATGTGTAATAAACAACTTTACTAAATTATAAAAAAAATTAAATTATTAATTATAGATTAATTTTTGTTGACTTGATCCCAATAGCACGAATATTATTGCATAATAACGACTTGATACTCTTTGCACTTAATGGTATCAAGTCGTAAAATACGATAAACGTTCGTGCTATTGGTATCAAGTCAACAAAAATAACTAAAAAATGGTTTTAAAGTATTTTTTTTTACATAATCATACAATTTATCAAAGTTATAAATAAAATTAATAGTTTCAATTTTTTTTTTATTTAAATGTAGAAGATGAAACGTTTTTGTTGTCTACTGAACAATTACTATTATTGACTTGATTCCCTTTTCACAAAAACCGTCCAATTGTTCAAGTACCATAAAAAAAAAAAGGTTGCTGTATAGGTACAGTAGGTTCTAAGTGGATCGCTTTAATGGATTTGTTAAATTCAAATTAAACGAACCATTGTATATGAAAAACGATTCTGTTCAAAATAAGTGTGTCAGCCTAGAATATTTTATATTACAATAATAATTGGTATATATTATATTATTTATTAGTATGGTGAATAGGTATGTTATAATATAGTAATTAATTTTAGTAATAAATATTGAATTTGCACACTTATACCTAACTACTATCTTAAAATTATAAGGGATTTTTTAGTTACAAAATGGACTACTTATGAAGAACCTTCTATTCAATTTTCGATACTTAGATGTTAGATATATGAAATTAATATTTTATAAGTTATTAACTATATAATAATTTGCAATAATTCGTGATTTTGCTTATAACAAAAATTTTGTCTATGAATTATCTCTTATATTTTAAAATAACTATAATTAAAACTTATGAGGAACGTTGCATTCAATTTTTAAGCTTTTTTACAGTATGGCTAAAAATAAATGTGTAGAAAAAAAGACTTTTTAGGAACCAAGATTACAAAACAATTATGTTAATAATAATAGGTATTTCACTCTCGAGCTGTATAAGCAAATAATCCAATATTTCCTCTATACTCACTTACTGTGTGGGGAAATTGTGCTCAACCCCACATACACAAAATACAAGTATTGCATTCCAAAGTTCTTAGGACAATATCTAATGCTGCATGGTTTGTACGTAATGATGCACTTCACAAAGACTTCCAGCTACCCACAATATTACAATAACTGAGTAGATACATGAAAAAATTAGCAATCAACTTCTTCAACCACACCAATTCTGATTGCATGGCAAAATTGTATACTTTAAGTGACCCACATTATGTATGCCAATTAAAACGTGGACGCCCACACGACCATTTATTAAAATTTTCATTTATTTATATGCGTTTTTCAAATTTGTAAGTACTTTAAAAATTAACAGATAGTATCTTTTATTACTTTTATTTTATTGTTAATTGTTATCTATTTTCGAAATGTTAAAAAATTCAACTCTGTTAACAATAAGTTAGATGACATACGTCAGTTAAACTTAAAAAAAAAAGCAGCATAATATTTATGTGGATACTTGTTTTCTTCTGTATTTGATTCAAATTTCAAATATTGAATACTTTTCAAATTTATGTCTTCCAAAAATGGTCACAGGGTGATATTCAGCAAACACAGATATGGAAATATTATTAATTTTTAAGATTTTGAATGTAGGAAGATTAAAAAAAAATTACATTTGAACTAATTTTTTAAGTACCTAACTTGAGAAAATATATATAATTGAAAACAAACAAATCAACTTGACATTAATATTTTTCATAATTTAGATTTCAGAACGCTTATTTAAAATTAGTCGAAAGGTAGGTACTTTTATAGGCCATGTATTTATATTTAAGACCTGGGTTCGTGTACGGGACCAAGGAACTATCCTAGGAAAAAATGATAATGTTTAAGTGGCTTTGACATTTTAATTAACCTCTATTTTTGTTTTATTCATTAAAATTAGTAATTAATTTTAAAAGCTTCCAAAATTTAAATACGTAGCTAATAATGTATCATGTATGCTCGACTAGCACTCAATATATTTATACTCTGAATAATGTGTCATAAGATACTACTATAAAATTACAGTGTCTCATAAATCAAAATTTGTACTAACAAATTAATATGTTAATACCGACATGCCATAATTCACTTTTTGGCATCTCCTAATTTACTAAGTCTTTTGTCACTTTTATAACGTATTAAAAGAAGAATGGTATACAAAAACGATAATGTGCTCAGAATTTTTCCAAAATAATCCAAGAATAAAATAATTTTCCAATATGCATGCGCATGTCCTGGTAGTTATAGTATATAGAAATCATATTGAGTATGTACCTAAGATAATTTTTATGAAGAAAATAATTTTGCATTGTGCACGTCACACCATTATAGCATAATAAATTTAAAAGTAATTTAATTATAGTAAGAAAACGGTTTACCGCCTTTTCTGGGTAAAATAACATACTTTAGTCCTGTGTAAAAGATGTTTTTTTTTTAAATTTATGTTATGTAGGTACTCGTGAAAGAACAAATAATATGAACATTTAGATAATGCAGGGTAAGCCACCATCTTTTTCCGTTTACACATGAGGCTGTATGAAGGAACGGTGTTTCGCCCTGATTAATATTATATATGTATAGTTATAGTTATAGTATTTATTATATTGTGTATGTTTTTATTTAAATGACTAGTCTTATGACTTAAAACTATAATTGTTATAAAAGAAATCTAAAAAAAAAAAAAAAAAAACACCGAAACGTATATACTGAACCCTAAACACACACATAAAATTGTTCTTTTTAGAAATTCTGATTAGAATAATTTTTATAGCTATAATTATATTTTATTATATTATATTGCATGTTTATGTCTTGATAATCTAAAGTGAATATTGTATTTAAAAAAAATATATATTAAAACGTTTCTTCTTAATTTAAATAGTCAAAATAATTTGCATATAATTTTTTGTAAGTTCAATTCTGAACATAATAAAATTATCACAAACAATTTTGAATTATTGTATATCACTGGTAAATATTTGTATTGGATTTTGAAAAATTGGTTACAGTTTACTGTAACTTTCTGATTGTCTTAACCATAGTTATAGAGACTAGTGGATTGATGATGAAAATAAATAACTTCTTCGATATTGTTTCCAATGGATAGAGTTATACTATTTAAACTATTTAAGCAATATTTTTAGGAAAACAAATATAGTAACAGTCACAACTAATTGAAAAAATGGATTTTATAAAAACTTAAGTCAATGCAATCGTTCATAAGCTATAGGATTTAATATGTCCATAAAATCGTTTTTAAATAATATTAACTTAGATAATATTATTATGATGTAAAATAAAATTATGAATTGTGAAAAAATACATAGATTTATTGATTTAATTATATAGTTATTAATTATTAATAAGCTAGTATACTTATGTTTTAAGATAAATTATTGTTTATTACAATAATAATAGAGTGAACGGTTATGTGAATAGAACTTTTAAATTTTTTTCTTTAATTGCTCATAAGAATATTGAATTTAATCACGTTAAAATTTTCAATACTTTTTCAAGACGCAAGCTTATAAAGGTACTTTATAGTTGATGTTTTCGTAAGTCATAAAATAGCATACACAGACTCTAAATTTTTGAAAATGATATAAATAAAAACTACAAAAAGCCATACCACTCATCTACTCCTGTAATAATACTCTGAGAAACTCCAAAATATTTTGTTATTTATGTATTTACGTTGTAAACCTTCAATTTTCAGTACTTTTAAATTACATTTATTTTTCTATGAAAGAAAATTCGTTTTCATAAATGTATCTCCTTTCAATTAATAAATTAAACTTACTACATTCTATCTCTAATATATGGCAATTTTATTTATACTAAAAGTATTCCTTACAAGTTATACTAAATATTTTTAATTTTCTCATTTAAAACTCTGTAAACAAATACAATATACCTAGTATATGTATTAAATATACTATATAATTATATTATGTTGTGCAATATGCAGTATTCATTTGATATCTAATCATTATAATTATGATATATAATGCAAGGATATAGTAAAAAGTATATATATATAGTAGTCCTACTACTTAGGAACTTTTGAAGTGAAACTTATTTACGGAGTGTACAACGCCAACACATTTTTAACGAAATTATGCTCACGGTCTCACGCTCGCAACATGCTCCATGGTAAAGAAAAATAAATAAAATATGAATCATATAAATCCGATTATTATATTATATAATTTTTTTTTTTTTTTTTATTGATGAAGAAAACTGTTCAACAACAATGGTTATTAGTGTAGAGATTACATTTTATTTTTTTTAAACAGTATTATTATGAAAATATTTTGCTAAATAAGTTTGTACAAAACAGACATTTTTAAATAATTATTATTTTATGGTTTGCATATTCGCCGGGTCCCAGGATTTCGGATAATTGTTCAACAAAAAATTTCCCTTTAAATCTTGGAACCCAACTCGT